TTAGAGCCGCCGCAAACTAGCACTTTGCGAGAGCAAAACGCTAGCAAACATGCGCTAGCACAACCGATGACGTCAAAGACTCCTCCCCTTACTTCTTGCCCGCATGGTTTTTCCTTCGCTAGCGCAGCAATGCGAGAGTACGCTCGCTGTTCACAGAATTCAACAACTAGAGCATTTACACTAGCAAGAGAGAGCGGGGAAGACGGATGACTACATAAACATGTCACATATCGAAAAAAATAATAATAGAATTTTATCGATGTACGTAAATTACATGATTAATACATTCAGTATTGAAAAGAAAATACTATAACCGTTGTATGTAAATAGTCACATACAGTATAAATAGTTTTCGGCTAGTTAAGCCTAGTTAGGCTTAACTAGTAAACATGTTCTTTCCATGCTGTTCAGAACGAAAACTGACTGATTACAAGTATAGGTTATAATAAAATCTTGTTCTATAGCCAATTTACATCTGTGGAATCCACGTCACGTGGACTACGTTACGCGAGCAAACGTTGTGTAGTTTGCGGCTGCTTCGTGCTCACGTAGCTTACCTAGCAAAAATGGCTCATAGAATCATGGGAAAAAAAGGCGGGGCTTAAGAGCGCGAGCGAGCGTATGCTAGCTCCCACATCCTGTAGTTTGCGGCGGCTCTTAGATAAACTAGAGGAGAGTGGCTCAAAGCATTCAGATAGTATGATTGCTAAACTGGTAATGTATCCTGTTAGCATGCATGAAGTACAAGCTTTGTGTTATTCAGAACTAATATTTTTTCTAAGTATTAATATTGATTTATATATGGTAACTCAGCCTACCTTCAGACAAAATTACTAGGTATTTTCTAGGAAAATGAAACTGAACTATGCGGAATAGGTTTTTTTTGTTTTTGCTTTGTACGAAAACACAAATATGGTGAAATGCTACTAATTCTTCTGAGGCAATTTAAAACATGTATTTCTGGGAAGATATGAATGTCCAATGTCATAACCAACAAAATCATCAAGAAACATTTAAAACATACACATGTGGCCGCAGGCCATGCTTGTTAAACCCCAGTCGTAAAAATCAAAATAAAAAATTGTTGTAAATATCAACATAAATTTCCAGCAATGGGACACTCAACTGATAGATCAAATTTTAAAAAATTCTGGCATCATTACAATATCAGTCTTGTCAAGTTTTTAAAAAGTTATGTTTAGTAGTCATGCAGTAGCTTTGTACTTCAATCACAGACAAAACACTTTCTGACTTATGAAGAGCTCCACTCAATTACTATTAGTTTTGTTTAGACAGAATATAGCTTTGGTTAATAATCTGGCAATTTTCTCTTTGCTATTTTTTTGCTCTTTGCTATAATTCTGATTTTAACTAGATTGTTTATTCTACATAATCTTAACACTACCTATATTTTTACACATTTATTAATTAATAGTGTTTTATGATTCATTTTAACAAGAAAAAAAATTGATATAATTTCAAAAACACCAATTAATTCAGCAAATTTTAACCTTTTGTCAGGCACAACCCCATCCTCAGTACGGTATTTTTCTTCTTATGTACACCACTGCTTCCAAATGCATGTGGTCATCCTGAAAAGAAGGTGTATTCTCAAAGAAATTTGTGCACTAAACAATACTGGAGTGAGGAGTGGTTTGGTTTCAGAAAACAGTTACTTTTTTCAGAAGAAATATATATAACCCATCCTTATTACATTTTTTATCTGCTTGTGTTACATGAATGTGTGGAAAAGATGTAAGTAATTCTTTCATTTTTTCCTGCTATTTTTACCTTTCTTATGTTACTTTTGTTAGTAAACATTCAGAATTAAAAAAAAAATGTTTATTTTTGAATAAAAGCAAATATTTATTTTGTATTATAGATAATTGGTAAATTATAAGTTATAATAGTTATGTTTGTGTTTTTACTAGAAAAATAGATTGGTTCATTTTTACTACTTGCTTATACACTTTTTACACTTTTAATTGCAAGTATGATATTTTCATAAGTTCATAAAACTACAAGACATTCCTTGCATTCTTCAAGATCATTGAGAAAAGGAGCAAAATGCCAAAACTACTATAGAAGATAAAAGTGAAGGCAACATAGGTGCAAATAAAATTTTAGAAATTGATTCATTGGAACCACACATTATTATTCATCTTCATTGGAACCACATTATTAGTCATCTTCATTGGAACCATACATTGCGATTCACTTTAGTGATTGCAATGTATGGTTCCAATGAAAATGACTAATAATGCTTAACATAGTGACATGTTATATTGTATTTTTACTGTATTTTCCTTATTGCTTTGCATTTTTTTCAATAAATAATTATAGCATATGATAATGAAAAAAAAGGTAATTATTATTTAATCTGAAAGAAAAAATTGCCTGTCCCAGGATGGATTGCACCTGCTCATTTTAAAATACAAATTGCACCTGACAATAAGTTAAAGAAATCCAACAAACAAAAAGTTTGTAATATAACTTGACCTAAATTGTGTTTATATCAAGGTTTTAACATCATAGCATTTAAGGAAAAAAATGCATGTTCATATAAGTTACCTTTACACATTATTATACTATGAATACTATAGAAATAAAAGAAACTGAAACTATAAGAAATAAATTGTGAAGAAATAAAAAAGTTGTAAATTTAATATTACTTACCAAGCAATAGGAAGCTTCAAATTTACATTAAAATTAGTTTGGTAATAATCTTTTCCAACTCCCAGTGCTCTAGATAAGCCAAAATCACTTATTTTGACCTGAAAAATTTTTCATTAGTACAAAACTAAACTTTTATTATATAATTTTTTAATTGCAAATATTAATATAAAAATAATCTATATAATTTTATTTATACATATACTTTCATTAACTTTTAACATGTTAATGATTTAATATATCAAATTTAATTTATCTAATTACAATTTGAGAAGAAAGTTTTCATGTTTCACAACAGTTTGAAAATTAAACTTACTTCAATTAAATAAAATTCTACTTGGAATTTTTACTATATTTACAAAAACGTAAATATATTAAAACTAATTAATATTTACAATGCAAAGTTATTCATTTCTATTAATGTATATTCTGTTACAAATAATACAGAAAATAATCCTTATCAAGAATACTTGAAATATTACACTTTATAGTTTCCAAAATTTCTGGATTTTATGTCCCCAACATCCAAGCTTCCTATATGAAACACACATAAGCTCTCATAGTGGCATAGTTTATTGTAACCATTGACACTGGTAAAATATACACAAATGTATTATTTACTTTATAAAAAAATATAGATCTACAATAATGTCATCAAGAAAGCTTTCATTATTGTCCAAGACAAACTCATTTTTTTCTAGTTATTTCATTCACAACATTAAGCTGTTAATTTATGCTGTAATATATATTAAATACTGCTGTAAATATATCTGAACAGCATAAACATTTAATTACAATCTTCCTGTACATGCTTTTTTAAGTAATAATTAACACTACACATTTATGACTGATAAAAAAAAGTCATTGTATTCTCAAGTGCTTCATAATTCACCAATATTTAAGTCAACAATATATTATTCAAAGTAATTTCATTAACTAAAATATTTTTTAACTTTTCATAAAAGTGATATTTTTCTAGAAAATAGTTAAACAAAATATCAAAATTGATTTATTCTTCTTGTATGTTTTTCTTTAGACTATAATACATCTCAAGTAATAGGACCATCAGTATAACCCAATAAGCACTTATTTTATTTTAGATAGATCATAACTAGCTTATTTAAATATATAACAAATAAACAGTCCTTCTGTATTTAATTGTGAGAGTTCTTTTCCATAATTTCATTCTCTTATCCATAAACAATTACTACTGTTATTTTTTTATCATTCATGTTGCTACTGTAGTACATAACAATATGACAACTTAAAGCATAATTTAACATTACTGATTGTGAGTCATTAAGATTTTTAAAAGATTTTAAAATTCAGTCATCAAGAATTTGTTTATTAAAACTCCAAGATATTTTGCACACCAATTACAACTGAATGTAATGCCAATTTTTTTGTGACATAATTACTAATGCCAACTTTGTTTCTGTTGTCAAAATTTTTTGAATTTTTAAATTTCAGATAAAAAAATCCCTTACTGTTTTCTTTTTAAAATAATAAAATTGTTAAATATCAATACAAATGCATAAAAAGTACATTAGTTTAATCAACACATTAGAAATTGAAATAAATTTAATTTCAATGTTTTTATTACTTGTATAATAAAGTAAAATTAACACAAATAATAATTACTAGAAAGCAATTACGTTAAAAGAAAGTTCTAATATTAAAAAAAATTGTAATGTTTAAAAATCATTTTAGAACTTTTAATGTAACTTCATTTAGCATTATTACGGTAAGAATTAAACAATGAATCTTTCATTATGTAGTAATTGTGTAAGAATAAACCAAACTGCCTGTTGACATTAAAGTTGTTTACTTTAAAAATTGTAATTTAAATGGCATACACTCAACCTAAAGATGACATTTTGAAATGTCATCTTCAGGTTGAGTGTACTTTTGACATTTTGAAATGTCAAAAGTACTTGTTTGTAATTAAAAACTTTGCAAATAAAAATCTTTAATGCAAAAGACAGTTTGATTTATTTTTAATCTAAGTTTGGCATCATTAAAGAGAATATTTTTTTACTACTAAATTACAGTTTTTATTATAAAATCTACAAATATCTACATATGTAGATTTTATAATAAAAACTGAATAAATCAAACATTCCAAAATGAAAGTGTAAATAAATTTTGCAAATGCAATTTGTAAAGAATAAATAAAGTTAATTGAGTAACTGCATGAATTATTATTATTCAAAAGATAATAAAATTGTTTTTAATCAGAAATTCAGAAATTTGCTTTTTTAAAAAACCAAAAAAATATTTTCTCAACTTTAATTTTTTGAACTATAAACATATAAATATTGCAAACACTACACTAAATCCTCTCTCTTGTTTCAGGGGTTAATGACTTTTAGAAACAAACTTCTATTTTCAATGTATTTTGACATCTGAATTATAATATATTATAGCCAATCAGAACAAAGTGGTTGAATTAACATAGCCGAGATATTACATATATTACATTGATTATGTGAATATACTTGCAAATAAAGTATAAATGTAAAATAAATGATAATTTTAAATATATATAATCAAAAATAAGAACTATTGTGTTTTATTGATAATCATGACTTTATAAAGCTTTCAATAGTACATGATCTTAAGATTAATTAGACATCATTTATGTCAATATATTTATGAAAATCATAAAAATTTAATAAATATAGGTTTTGGTTTATAATGTTGAATTACTGAATAGAGTCATACATTTCTTAGATGTGAAAATGTTCATCTTCTAAAATAATAACAACAAAGAATATATTGTGTATTATAAGAATATTAATGTTTAAATTATCTCTCACTTACCTTATTTTTTGAAAATACTAAAATATTTCTTGCCGCTAAATCTCTATGAATAAGTCGTTTATTTTCTAAATACTGCATTCCATCACAAATTTGTTGAGCAAATTCACATAATGACAGTACACCAAAACTAGGTCTAAGAGCTGGTTCCTTAAGACATTCCAATAATGATCGTAAAGGAGCTAATTCTGTTACCTACAAGCAACCATAATTATAAATATTTAATTAAAAATTTCTTGTTAAATTATTATAAACTTAATAACAGATTAATGTTGGGAGAAAAAACAAAGTAAAATTAAATTTACTAATTATATAGATACTTTCATTTTTATTATAAGCTTTTCCAAGCATATATTTGAATAAAATTAGTAACAAAACAGCAGAAAAATAAAAATATTTCTGTATATAACATCTCTTTAATCCAAAAAACAAGTTTGGTAGACAATCTCACACCTTTCTGGTTATCTTTTTCCGCAATATCTGAATAATGTCGTACCCCTAATTATATTGTCGTTTTTTTCGTACAGCACTGAAGAGGGGTCGGGAACTTAAACCAATCCTAAATGCATTTGTAGGCCAATTTACAAAATAAAGCTGTGAGATCATCTACCAAACTTGTTTTTTGGATTAAAGAGATGCTATATATAAAAACTGAATAAACAGCAACCATATTACAGTGAAAAAATATTTCATTAACTAATAGGAAGATAATTGAAAAACTACATTGATAAGTTTGTAAAAGACAGTATTTATTAGTTTGCAGAAGAATATTTCAACTAATTCAGTAGAAATCAAGATAAACATTTGCCTACTTTGCTTAATCCCAATTAGGCTCTAGCTATAATATATCTATTTAGTAAATTGCTTTTCTGTAAAAATCTCTTGTTTTTTTTATAACATTCAATTAATACTTCCTATTTTTTTTAATTTACTTAAAATATTCAAGCATTCTTTGCAGTTATTTTGGAACATAACACAAACGTTTTCAGTAACTAATAACTGCAAAGCATTATAAGGTTAACATGGGTATTTATAATTAACGCTTTGTTTATTGGATGGATTTTATGCATTTTATATATTTTATTAAAATTAATAATAATTTTAGTATTAGTATATTTAAGTATATTTAAAAAAATTATATATTAATATATTTTTATCTATACAAGTGCACAAAATAATACTCTAATTTGAAGGTATTAGAATTGTTATGCTAGTTCCTCTCCATAATTCACTAAACATTTTCTTTATGATGTGATTGTGTTCCTCTCCATAATTCACTAAACATTTTCTTTATGGCGTGATTGTGTAATTGTTCTAGAATGCTGTGAGGGAGGTTGGGTCTATCTTCAATGACTAAAATGGGTCTATCTTTTGTGGCCTAGTTCATAATGAAAAATGTTCTTTGATTGTTTTGCTCATTGATCTAAATAAAGATTCTACTTAACAGAAGTCCTTATCTCTCCTCAATACTTTCACAATATAAATTCTAAGTTTGTCATTTACTTAAATAATTATGCATTAAACTTAGCTGATTGCAGATTTTATAGACTTGATTAACAGGTAACTTGTATTCTGAATCAAGCTTGATTTTAAAGTAATTTATTCTTTATGAAGTTAAACATTTGTTTTAAAATTTTTATATATTTCTTTAAATTGTACACACACAAAATGTTCTTATTTACTCAAAATATGTTTGAATATACTTTAATATTATAATTTATATTTTTTATAATTTAATATAAAATTCTGTAAAATTTCAAATGTAAATGTTCTGTTCTAATGATAATTTATTTGATGCTGAGAATAGACTAAGTTTTTGTTAAAAACATTTCAATTTTTAAATACAATTTTGGGTAATCTTAAAATTTCTATTTTAAGATTACCAAGTTTCTGAATTATTTACTACTATCTTCTGATTTTATTTTAATATATAATAAATTTTTTATATCAATTATAAGATTAACTTATTATTTTTTAATTGTGATCCAGATTCTATTTTAGTAAAATAGAATTTTAAATAGTTTTGAGTTAAAAATTATATTTGCATTTTATAATATACAGTGGTCCTTGTACTTCAAATTTAATTCATTCCAAGAGGTCATTTAAACTCTGAATCAGTTTTTCCCAAGAGAAATAATGGAAAGTAAATTAATTCATTCCCACATCCTAAATAATACCTATTTAGATAAATTTAAAAATAGAAAATTTGCATAATTATAAAGTGAAAATAGCACAATTAAATACCCTAATAATAAATTAAAACATGAAAACAATAAATAAAACATATAAATACTGTAAAATAAAATAAAATTTGCATTTATTGATCATACATCATCAACTTCAGTATCTTAAACATAGCCATTTGTTCTGCTATACGCTTACGACTTTCATGTTTTGCGATAACTTCCTTTTTCATCTTGATTGTCAATATTACAGCAGTCCTCTTAGACTTTGTTGCTTTCACATGCTTCACTGATACCATGGTTAATAAGTAAAGATTACATTGTGTATTTTAACAGCTGTCATTTCTTAACATAGATGTGGATTTAATTATAACAGTTCTGAAATTTACCATATTATTGCTAATCTGAGATTGTATTCTTTGTTAAGAAGCTTATTTTAAACTTTTTACTTCACATTTTGTTCGAATAAAATTAAGTTGAAATGTCTTTGGATATCAGATATATTAAGCTATATGAGTTTCGGAAAGGATATAATGTCGTACAAATGGCAAAAAAATTATAATGTGTAAGGGAAAAATGCTCCTAAACTTTGAATGTATCAAATGTGGTTTCAAAAGTTCAGGAATTTTTGAAGTAAAGAATACAAAACATATGAAACACCTAAAAGCTATCTATGAAGAAAAATTGCAGAAATAGTTATTAGAAATTGACAAATAACATGTAATATATATAACCAAAAATAAAGTGAAAAAGAAAACACTGAAAATGTACAAGCATAACATGAAAGCAAGAGATGACTCCGGTGCAAAAAGATTGCATTTACACTTTGAGCATGTTTTTTCACTGCCCACACAGTTCAAACTTCCAAGCATCATTCAAACTCAGGCAAATTTTTGTCAAATTTAGCATTCAAAGTCTAAAGCATTTGAAGTACAAGGTACCATTGTATATATAATATTTTAAGATTACTATTATTATTTTTAATCTAAAACACATGTAGAATGTTTACCAGCATAAGTGATTTTGTATCCAAAGCTACACCATACAGCCTGACAATATGTTCATGATCAATAGTGTGCATAATAGCTGCTTCTTTTAAGAATTCCATATTATTATTCTGCATTCTTTCCTTGCAAAGACATTTAATGGCAACTTGTATCTAGATGAAATAAAAAAATTTTTTAAATACATTCTCTTATTGATATATAAAAATATTTTTAAAAATAATAATTTAATTTTTTCATTATATAAAAACTAAATAAAAACATATCTTGTGAGTTTAAATTATAGTATATATTAATGATAAATTTGAAAATATTTTGTAAATTTCAGAATAGGGAATTAATAATATTAAAAAAATGCTGTTTAATATCAAAATTATATTAAATTCTTTTCTTTTATATATAATTTTGTTTAAATGTCATCTCTTAGTACTTTTGGTTGTAAATAATCTTGTAAAAGCAATAATTTCTAAAAAATATGATTCTTTAATAAAATAAAAAGTAATAAAAAATCAAAAATTGTAAGTAATATAAGAATATATTAAAAAAATATAGAAAGTTCACCAGTATAGATAGAGTTTAGAGTGGATGGTTGAACTGGAGAAAGATGAGTGGGATACTGTGCAATAAGAAAACTAAGCTACAAAATGAAAGAAAGATTATATAAAACCATGGTAAGACCTGCAATGATGTACAGTGATGAGATGTGGGCAATTACAAGGGCCCAGGAAAAAGAAAACAAAGACAGTGGAAATGAAAATGCTGAGATGGATGTGTGATGTGATGAAAGACAAAATTAGGAATGATTATATAAGAGAAACAGTTAAGGTGAGTCCTATACATAAAAAGATGCAGGAAAGTAGTAGATTCAGATAGTTTGGGCATGTGGAGAGAAATGAAGACTATGTTGGAAAGAGGACTGGAAGGTTGGAAATGATAGGAAAAGAAAGCAGAGAAGACCAAAGCTGAGATGAAGAGACAGGATGGCAGAGAATTTGGGAGAGAGGGGATGGAGGAGAGAGGATGCCCTAAACAGAGATAAGTGGAGAAGACAGATTAAAGATGGGAATGCTGATCCCATATAAACATGGAAAGAGCAAAGACAAAGAAGAAGAGGAATAAAAAATATAGAATATCAGAAGAATAAAAATGTAAAGATAGATAAGAAAAAATTAAATACAGACATTAAAATGTTTAAAAAATTTTATTTAAGTTTATACCAAAACATGCAAAAATTATAAGATAATTTCACTAATAAATTACTATTACGAATCAAACATTCTAATATTACGGACATATGGTAGCATCTACTGATAAATTTAAATAGTTAAACAAATTTATATTTCCATTCAATTAGATTGTGATTATCTAATAACCAATTGTATACTTTTTCTTTTTTTTTTCTCTCTCCACCCTGTGGGCACTAAGAAGGCCTCTTTTAGCATGCCCATTATGGATTCAGCAGGCCCACAATGGGGCAACTGGGTGGTGACGAATGGGGCCTGCCTGACATATCCAGATGGACCACCACCCAAAAAATTTCTAAGGCTTTTTGACCTATCTGGATTCGATACTGGGTTCCCAGCAGTAGGCTGCCACCTTGACTGTTCGGTTATCTGGCCGTCAAAAATCAATCCAAAATCCAATTGGATTTTAGACAATAACAATACAAAATAAATCACCCAGTATATAAAGAGAGGAATTATTTTTAAGAAAAATGTGTTTTTTATTCTTTTATTTAATAAGAGATAAAATAGAATAAGTAAATATGAGATTATTTTCATAGTAATAGCATGATATTTATTAAATAAACTGCTCAATGTAGGTGAAGATGAAACAAATTTAAAAATTTAATACATTTGATTAAACATTTTTTTTAATTACTCAAATAAAAAATATTTAGTTACTCATATATATAATCATCATCTAATTATTATTGACTTAACCACTTCAAAATATTGAAATTACAACATCAGAGTTAAAACTGAAAACAAAATAACTTTACAGTACATGTAAAACTGAATGAAAAAATTTATAAGAACCAAATAATTTCATTAATATCAAATACTAAAATATTAAAAATTATGTTTACTGATATTTTTTTATTTGTATAACAATTCACATATTATAATAAAAATTTGTTTAGTTTAAATATTAAAATATAGATAATAATTTATATCAAAATCTAATAAATATTTAAATAAAATAAAATGTAAAATAATAATTCTTACTCTTTCACCATCTTCATTGGTCCAAATTCCTTGCTGAACAACTCCAAATTCTCCAACACCCAATTCTTTATTTAAAGATATATTATCCATAGATATTATATGTTTACTTGGAACTTTTATATTTGGTCTTTCCAAGGAATCATTTTCTAAAACAGATACACGATCTGCATCATCTTTATTTTTTGAAAGAATCATCTGAAATTATTATAAAAAAAACATTATTATTATTATTAATACCTAAATACGTTAACCTAAATATCTTACAATAATATCTATCTTAATTGTAATAGTAAAAATTAAAAATCTTAGGAAAAAATTATCAATCTTAAAAAAAATCCTGCAAGTTTTTAAATTAGTTAATAACTCTGGACTTTTTAAGACCAATATTTTTTCCTAAAATTTTTGATGTACTTTACAGGAGATTTCAAATAAAAAGCTTTTATTATTATGATATACAGGGTGTTTCAGTTAAATGTTTCAGAACTTCTAAGAGGGGTAGGGTGCATCCCGACGACTTGGAATCATATAGCAATGCAGGGTTGGAAATGGTTTCCTGAAGCAGTAGATGACGTTGCGCAAAAGTTCTGAGCGTTCTTGCAGGGAATCATCATTTCGCACAAGAACACAGAGTTAGCTAATATGTATTTGGTGTACGGGGCTGCAGATTGTAGTGGGCCACACAGCACTTGTACGTGGAACGATATCCAATGAGACGTATTCCCAGCCATAATTTCTTTGCAAGCCTGCACCAGAGGTTAGTTGTTTCTGTGTACATCACTGCTTCAGAAAAGCATTTCCAACTCTGCATTGCATGATTCCGAGTCGTCGGATGCACCCTACCCCTCTTAGAAGTTCTGAAACGTTTAACTGAGACACCCTGTATAATGTATATTTTAAAAGCAAAAAATATATGTTATATTAGAGGAAAGAACAATCTACCAATCATTTTGAAAATTAAACCACATCAAGTATCTAAACCTATTCTAAACTGTTAATCACCAACAATAAGAACATTTAACAGAAAATTTCATGTCCTCTTTAACTAAGAAAGTTAAATATAATACACTTTATCAAAAGTCATGAAATCAATATTCAAGCATTTATGTTTTTATTAATGCTACAGTACTAACATTAATAAATTCTAATAATAAATCAAGTAAACCTCTTTAAATTTTAAATATCCATTAAGTACTAAAAATTACTACTACAAAATTATTACTACTATAAAATTATTACTACAAAAAAATTACTACTAATTAAATTTTGTAAGTACTTTTTTACTAGTATAACTTAAAATAGATAATTTTTAATAAAAATATTTTGTATAAATGGCATTTTAATATTTTTTTATATGAATTATTGAAAAGTTGTCATAGATCTTTCATTTTCAGTATGTTTAGTATGTTCATTAGCTATCATATCAAGAGTTAAAAAATCAAGATGTACAAATAATTTTAATTTATACTGATAGTATTAACTCTTGACAATTTTTAGTCTCTGAAAGCAAACAAGTTATTTGTTAACAGCACATTAAAATTGATTGTAATCAAAGCATATTCATAATCTAATTCATAACTTAATTGAAATACAAGGGTTGGATGAAGTTTCCAACTTAACCAGGAAGCACTTGTCACAGTCAACTAGAACTGAAGGACTATTCTACATAATCTCTATGAAGTGTGATGCATTTGTCCCATCAGTATTCCAACTTTGCAAAATCCTTGTAAAAACTTGTGTGCCACACCACTCCTGCATGACTGTCATTATTCAAAATCATGTTATCTTTTCATATGCCTTTTCATTGATGAGAAAAAAAATTTTGAAAAGGGTATTTAAAATAATTTGTTGACATGTCCCATTAATAGGTTTTTCACTTTTATGTTTCTGATAATATTTCTTTGGAAATTCATCTATTCACTAATTTAATTATATTATTCATATTTAAAATTGAAGGTAAATCTGCCATTGTTCTTTCATGAAAAGAATGCTGAACTTGAGTTGAATGTTGCTACTGCAACTACATGGTTCAGAGCATGTTTGTTTACAAATGTAAGAAATTTTTATTAAGTAGTTCTGACTACCATAAGTTAATAAAATCTGATATAAAGTGTATAAATTTCAAAAAGAAAACATTAAATTTCTATTCCATTCTTGTTTTAATTATAAAAAAAAAATCAAAAATATAGGAATTACTACTTTAATGCTTGTGCAGAATGCTCCAGGTGCAGACTCAGTGAAACTGGAATTAAAGTACACTTGATGTCTCAAGTGGCAGAGTTAAAAAAATCCCTCCAGATGGCTCTTTAAATAAGACTGGTGTGGCAACATAGCCTATGTAGCTGACAGTATGATTGCCCTACTAGATACAGTAAATAAAGGAATTATTATTAACATTGCTATTGTTGATTTTACTAATAAAATTTCACACAGACTACATCTAATATCATGGGTTTTGAGAGTTGACCTTATTTGCTGTAGAGAACTAACATACACAAAAAATTGACAGTTAGTTTCTAAACAGCACTCTGAAAGTGATTATATAGAGATGGAAGATTACTGTAAATTTATCAGCAATTCTACCATGAAAGATACAATTTCTGGATATCAATTTTCAACTAGGAAGGTCTAATTATATCAGTTAGAGCATAGACTAATGAACAGAAAATGAACAGGAGAGAACTAAAGGTAAAGAATTTATTTGGAGATGGCAGATAAATTTGCAGTGTACAAAGGATTTTTCACATTTTTAATGACACTCCTGATAAATTTAGATAATGGAAAAGTGTTTGATGAGTTTGTAATTGCAAGTTAAAATCAACAAATAACCAGCATTGTCATGTAACCTGCACCTGCTTTCAAATTAAATTTTAAACACAAATAATCAGGGTAATTATTGTATTACCATAATTACAATTTAAATTAAGAAAAAACTGGAACTATTTGTTATAGCACACAAAATAACCTTTTCTTTATTCCAGCAACTCAATAGCAAATACAACAAACATTTTCAAGTAGCTTGACTGTCCTGCATAAGGTTCGTTACAAATAATACTTGTAACAGATATTGCAAATTTGTTGATTTTGCCGTGATTAGAAACGAATATATATTTTTCGTACATACTTAAATTATTCTTTATGAATTTTAATAATCTGCAATAAATTATCAATTTAATTTAAAATAAAAAAAATTACATGTAATTAAATTTTTGAAAAATATATTAATTACTTAATTATATATAATATTAAATCAGAGCATTTTAAAGCATTAATTCTGTGAATATAGTTACATCCAATTGCAGTGGTGCTAACTTATGGGCTTGTGGGATTCAAGAGAGTCAGCCCACCAGTGGTCGAGTGGATAAAACCACTGAACACTGTTGTGGGTTCATGCCTTTGTGAGTTGGTTGTAGGTTCATGCCTTGCCAACAGGCTGGCCATGTGGAATTTTCCTGGTTTTCTTCATGCTAGTAACACCTAAATAGAAGCCAGTTTCTAATGAAAGACTTCCCAGAAGGCATCCTGCCTCAGCAGATTACCCATGTGTCACATTGCCATACCTACACTAATAAAACCTAACATGTAGGGCTCAAGCCCATCCAATAATTTGGGCTCATAGAATAATTCTTTTCTTCACAATTTAAAACTAATTGCATGATAGCATACTTCAACAATAATTTTCAATGAAATAGAAGTGTACAAGTTATAGGTACATTTTAATTTGTGGGACATTTGTTTAGATACAAAATTATTTTAGCAGAAATTTAAACTGTTATCATTAAAGTAAATTAACATTTTGGTGTTAGGTAATTATATTTAAATTAGCTACATGTAGATTGGATCTATATACATATTAACAATAGATCTGATTGATTTTCTATTTACTTTTATTTCAAATTTTTACAGCTAATTTAGTCACATTTGAGATCACCCAACATAGTTAAAAAATTGGCACCAATGTCCAATTGCATATCATTTAAACAAGTTCAAATATACTGTACATGGTTAAAAAAGTTTTAAAATTCATTTAAACACATCAATAGAATATCTAATTAATAAATTAAATAAAAATTATATAAAAGGGTTTTTTCTAATTCTTACATTGCTACCAGATTTAGTAATACAACAACAACATTAATGAAATAAAATTTCTTTAATAATCTGTACTTCTCACTGTTTTTGATGAATTGACTTAAAAGAACATATTCTAAACTGAGAATTTTTTGAAAAGATTACAGAAAGTGTTATTCAAAACATATCAATGTGATAATGTATCTTTATATATATATATATATACCATCTTATCTGTGTTTTACAGTATATCCTTTATGTCTGCAAAATTCCCCACTGTATCTCAATAAAAAACTTAAGGTAATATCCAAACATGGCAGTTATGGAGATTGTTTATGAGTTTAGACTATTACAATCAACAATACTGTACAATATGCAATGTTATGTACTGTATAAGCTTGCATATAGTGTATATTTTTTAACTATATTTTTTTATTATCAACTTATGGTGCATTTTTTGGAACAACCCTGTCATAACTCAAGAAGAGACTATATCTAACTACCTAATTTTTTTTTACTCTTTCCACCCTAAGAGTACTAAGATGGTCTTTTACTCAAACCCCATTATGGGTTTTGCCAGACCTACAATGAAGATAACCAGATAGTGAGGTACAAAGTTTGATGTATCTGGGACAGATTACTCCAAAAAATTCCCAAGACTTCTGAGTTGGACTTTGAACCCAAGTCTCCCAGAGTGATAGGTTGACAACTTAACCATCTCAACCATCTTACCATCACCACCTAATTTTTAAAAATTCAATATAAAAGGTAAATTAGATAAAAATCAATTTTAAAAAAATGGTAAAGAATGGAAAATGAACTGAATGAAAGAATGAATGAATGTTACCATTCAATAAAATTTAAAAAGAATTTGGAATAAACAACAGTTCATAGAAATGTGTTATCATATTGATATATTTGCATTTCCATAATTTCTTCAAAAAAAAAAAGAAGAAGAAGAAGAAGAAAGTGTGTGGTTATAGCTCACAAGAGTGACTTCTTAAGTCAATTTGTAAATATAATGAAAGTTACAGATCATTAAATATTTTAAAATTCATCAAAATAAATCCCAATACATTTTTTTCATTTTAAAATTATTCATATTTTTATAACATAAGTAATACCTTTATCATCTTAAAAATAAAAAAAATACACTGAACTAAAATAACTTTGTCTGTACTTACCAGTCATAAGTACAGACAATTTAACTGTTCTGGCAAGTGAAGAGAATATCAGAAATAAACAATAATAAGAGAAATAATCAGAAAGTGGAGTATATTTTACACCTTAAAATATACTCCAGCAACAATTTTAACAAACAAAAATGTTTTGATCTAAGTTTATAGATCTTCATCAGTTAAACATTCAAACATAGAATGTATTTGAATGAAAAGAACATTCAAAATACAAAACAGAATAAATATAAAATAGAACAAATATAAATTTTAACTTAGATCAAAAACATTAATATCAGAAATAAATTTTACACCTTAAAATATACTCCAGCAATGATTTTAATAAACATTAAAATCATTGCTGGAGTATATTTTAAGATATAAAATTTATTTCTGATATTCTCTCCAGTTGCCAGAACAGTTAAATTGTCTGTACTTACAATTATAACATATAAATAAAAATTAAAGAAGCATATGTGTGTATATGTCTGTATACACACATAGAGAGCATTTATATAAAGTCAGAATTCAAAGTTTTTATTAGAACAATCTGTTAAATCACATTTATTTAGAGATAAATTTATTCTGGAATACTATAAATCTTTAATTTAGCTTATATCTTCAACAAGAGTTCACAAATTTTATGTTTTAGCTATGAAAATCTAAAATCTGTCTTCACTTTTATATTTATTGAACTGCTATTTTTTATTTATTCTTACCTTTTTAATCTTTTTAAGATATGTCTGTGGATAATATTTGTGAAAAAATTTCTTAAGTCTTCTTTGTTCTGGTTTGCTCATTCCTAGATGCAATAAATCTTCTTCCTCAACATATTTTATCTGAGCCACAGAATTAATTTTTAATTCACTTCTGAATGAATTAAAATAGTGAGATAATTCAGCTTCTAATAAAAATTCATAAAGAGTTGGGTGTTGATTTGAAGAATCCATTATTATAAAATATTTGAATGTTCCTAAAAAATAAAGAATAATCTTAAATTAAAATATATAATTTTCTAATTTGTACATATAAAATTTAACTATAAACTGAAATGGATGAATTTAAATTTGCAAAACTAGAATTAGTAATCGTAATTAAATATCTTTACATTTGGATTAAGCATGATTAAATGTTTATCTTTAAATAAAACTTTATTCTAAAACATCAAAACAATTTTTATTAAAAACTTTTTAACTAACCAGAAATGAAATACTATAATTACAAGAGAAAATCTTTATATTAATTGAAAGAGAATTTCAGCTTGTCCAACTTAGTTTGAGTAAATGGCTGGTGCTAAAATTATATTTCTTGGTATCAAATTAAAGCTCTTATCCTGTAGATGATGCTGCTGAAGAGATATTTGAGAAAGGCAGAATAGTTCACACATGGCAAAGTGAGAAATGTACAATATTAAGTCTACAAGACAAACATGTTCAGGGTCCCACCCCGTTAACTTTAGCTCAAGCAGTTTTTTTTTTTTGTTTTGCAGTTTCATTATTGTAAATACTAAGGCCAATAAATGTATATTTTAGTTACTAAGACCATTATTTTTATCACCCTTTCTTAACTTAAACTCACCAATCTTTCACCCTCTTAAAAGTCTGAGCAATGCCAGGTATATGTGGCTAGTTCTTTCTTATTGCTAAATTCTTTCATCCTGATAAAATTCTCTATGCAGATGAAAGAATTTACTAAACTATGAGTTTTAAATATAATACTTTATTAAATAATTAGAATATTGAAATACAAAGCTGAAATTGAAATAAATAAATAAAAAAACCAAAAACAATCTCATACTACAACAGCAAAGTTAAACTAAAATATAGAGAAGTTATTCTGATGATATTAAATATGAATTTCTGTGATTACAAGCATAATAATTTCCATTAATTTAATATGGTAAATTATCATACAATTATTGTCATTGTATACTGTTAGCAATTTGTGTACATAACTTATTATTTCATAAGTTAATTATTGACAAGACTGTCTTGTTTATAAAATTGTACCGCCTGCTGCGTTACCAGCTTAGAGGTATGAAGGAGTACATGTCAGGAGTTACAATTTAGCACAGAGTTTTAGGTGCCCAAATCATGCGGACATAAAAAAAACCAGACTTGTAGGTACTCAGGGGACCGAGAACCGAGTCAAAATAAAATACAAAATGGCGACTCTCTCTACAAACAGGCAAACTGAAGAAAGATGGTGAGAGTACCATCCACAGTCGTTCTAAGAAATGGACTCTAACCCTAGGACTGAACGTGTAGTATTTTGTTTGTTAAATAAAATTTGTAATCTAATTTTGTAAATTTAGGAATGCTTCAAATATGACATTAAAACAGAGTTTTATGTCATTACAAGTAGGTTTTTTTTAACATTATCTAGTATAGTAAAATTCTGGGACCAATAAAAATTTGATGTTATAATAGGGTTGTCGTTACATTCGATGACATTATAATCAGGTTAAACTGTATATTGTTTGTGCAAAATAAAAAAATAATTTTGGACAATACAATAGCCACGATTATTTTTTTCAAAAACGGGAAATTTTTGTTACAAAAATTCAACCTGGGCCGACACGCAACAGAGAGAAATTTCGAAATTGGATAGGTTAACTTTGTCGAAAATGCATCGTGAACAACCTCGTGGTCGTGGGCGGTGAAGTTTGAACGATTGTGCCCAAAAGCAGCAATACCAAAGAAGATTGGAGAATGAGAACGAGACCCAACTTGTACGTCAAAGTCCGCTTAGTAATGAGTCTCTGAGACATAGTCTTGTCCCAAATATGGTTTTGTCATTTTACTTGTTTCAATATAATACACAAAATAATATAATTAAAAAAATCAATCTGAATTCAAAATAGTTGCAAATAGATAAAAATATAATTAAATATAACTTTAAACAAAAATATTTAAACATGGTAAAGATGCTATTGCAATATATTTTGAAAATTTTTTATTCATTTATATTGTTAAGTTTTAGATTTTTTTTTTTAAACTAAATGCTAAAAGTTATTAATAGCTGTAACTGCAATGAACTTGGCCTACTTTATTTAGCACACAAATGCAATTTCAGCTACACTGGTTTCACTTATGACTAATGTTTCTGTATGAAAATAATTTGATAAATCATTATATAACTATGCCAGCACATTTTAAAGTTTGCAATTTAACTAACTTATTCGGGATAATTGTACTACATTTTTTTTAAATTAAGGGATATTCTAACAACAACAGCAATGTGAAAATTAGTTTATTATTATTACTGCTACTCCAGATTCCTTACATAGATGGCCAAAGCTAACATCCAATTTGGTTCTGTAAATACTATACGGGTGATAAATTTGAAGACCGAGTACACCAAGCAAGTGTAGTAATGTAACAGACATTCCTAGGAAAACTCTTCAGCATTATCTTGTTGGAAAATGATTGTTTGCAGCCCTGTCATAAAAGGCAACACATGAGGGTACAGGATATCTTGAGTATAGTGTTGTATCGTCAATGTCCTTCATACCATTACTAGCAGTGATTGATGTCATGCAAGCGAGCTCTCCAGACAATTATATCAGTAGCGGGGACAGTGTGCTACTCAACAGCAAAAATGAGATTGACATGCTCTCCAATAGACCTCCACACTAACACAACAGTCATTTATTAAAAGTCCTATATAAAATCCTGTCTGAAGCATGGCATGCTTTGGACAGGTTTTGTAGCAAGACTATTTCTAACAGATGGACAAAGACACCATTGCAACTATTCATACATGCTACTCATCTTTACCACAACACCGGAGAATAGTAATATAATTATCTCTTTCTAACCTGTTACCAATGCATCTACTAACTCTTAACGATCCAAAACGAANTTTTTGATGTACTTTACAGGAGATTTCAAATAAAAAGCTTTTATTATTATGATATACAGGGTGTTTCAGTTAAATGTTTCAGAACTTCTAAGAGGGGTAGGGTGCATCCCGACGACTTGGAATCATATAGCAATGCAGGGTTGGAAATGGTTTCCTGAAGCAGTAGATGACGTTGCGCAAAAGTTCTGAGCGTTCTTGCAGGGAATCATCATTTCGCACAAGAACACAGAGTTAGCTAATATGTATTTGGTGTACGGGGCTGCAGATTGTAGTGGGCCACACAGCACTTGTACGTGGAACGATATCCAATGAGACGTATTCCCAGCCATAATTTCTTTGCAAGCCTGCACCAGAGGTTAGTTGTTTCTGTGTACATCACTGCTTCAGAAAAGCATTTCCAACTCTGCATTGCTATATGATTCCGAGTCGTCGGATGCACCCTACCCCTCTTAGAAGTTCTGAAACGTTTAACTGAGACACCCTGTATAATGTATATTTTAAAAGCAAAAAATATATGTTATATTAGAGGAAAGAACAATCTACCAATCATTTTGAAAATTAAACCACATCAAGTATCTAAACCTATTCTAAACTGTTAATCACCAACAATAAGAACATTTAACAGAAAATTTCATGTCCTCTTTAACTAAGAAAGTTAAATATAATACACTTTATCAAAAGTCATGAAATCAATATTCAAGCATTTATGTTTTTATTAATGCTACAGTACTAACATTAATAAATTCTAATAATAAATCAAGTAAACCTCTTTAAATTTTAAATATCCATTAAGTACTAAAAATTACTACTACAAAATTATTACTACTATAAAATTATTACTACAAAAAAATTACTACTAATTAAATTTTGTAAGTACTTTTTTACTAGTATAACTTAAAATAGATAATTTTTAATAAAAATATTTTGTATAAATGGCATTTTAATATTTTTTTATATGAATTATTGAAAAGTTGTCATAGATCTTTCATTTTCAGTATGTTTAGTATGTTCATTAGCTATCATATCAAGAGTTAAAAAATCAAGATGTACAAATAATTTTAATTTATACTGATAGTATTAACTCTTGACAATTTTTAGTCTCTGAAAGCAAACAAGTTATTTGTTAACAGCACATTAAAATTGATTGTAATCAAAGCATATTCATAATCTAATTCATAACTTAATTGAAATACAAGGGTTGGATGAAGTTTCCAACTTAACCAGGAAGCACTTGTCACAGTCAACTAGAACTGAAGGACTATTCTACATAATCTCTATGAAGTGTGATGCATTTGTCCCATCAGTATTCCAACTTTGCAAAATCCTTGTAAAAACTTGTGTGCCACACCACTCCTGCATGACTGTCATTATTCAAAATCATGTTATCTTTTCATATGCCTTTTCATTGATGAGAAAAAAAATTTTGAAAAGGGTATTTAAAATAATTTGTTGACATGTCCCATTAATAGGTTTTTCACTTTTATGTTTCTGATAATATTTCTTTGGAAATTCATCTATTCACTAATTTAATTATATTATTCATATTTAAAATTGAAGGTAAATCTGCCATTGTTCTTTCATGAAAAGAATGCTGAACTTGAGTTGAATGTTGCAACTCAATACTTGATACTGCAACTACATGGTTCAGAGCATGTTTGTTTACAAATGTAAGAAATTTTTATTAAGTAGTTCTGACTACCATAAGTTAATAAAATCTGATATAAAGTGTATAAATTTCAAAAAGAAAACATTAAATTTCTATTCCATTCTTGTTTTAATTATAAAAAAAAAATCAAAAATATAGGAATTACTACTTTAATGCTTGTGCAGAATGCTCCAGGTGCAGACTCAGTGAAACTGGAATTAAAGTACACTTGATGTCTCAAGTGGCAGAGTTAAAAAAATCCCTCCAGATGGCTCTTTAAATAAGACTGGTGTGGCAACATAGCCTATGTAGCTGACAGTATGATTGCCCTACTAGATACAGTAAATAAAGGAATTATTATTAACATTGCTATTGTTGATTTTACTAATAAAATTTCACACAGACTACATCTAATATCATGGGTTTTGAGAGTTGACCTTATTTGCTGTAGAGAACTAA